GGGTGGGGTGGGTATATTAAATTACTAACCGGGAAATGAGGATTGTATGTTATTATTATTATTATTGTTATTATTATTATTATTATTATTATTATGTTGCAATGATGTCATTTGTACTGTTCTTTAATTTTATTAAAGAGGGCCCCTGAATATCAGTTAACCTACTGGGCTAAACTAGAAGGGCTACGGTACCCTCTTTAAAGATGGTTGAAATAAAAAATTAAAAAAATTAAAAAAAATAAATACCCACTCTGACTCAAGACCCCTGTTACGCGCCTGGTGTTAGCGCCAATGTGTGCCCTTGTGCGGACAGGGGATGTTCCCCCCTCTGAAGCTGGAAACTTCAAAATAAATTGATGCAATTTGCTATTATAGGCCTAATCAATAAATTCCTCATCAACCGATATAACCAACATTCTTGGAATTGACATAACATTACTGATGTCGTACACACCCTTCAGTGTGAAATGTGGCTCTCTTTGCAACAAGCACATCTAACATCTAAGGAAAGAAGAGCTTAGATTGGTACCAGATAAAATAATTTTGTTATCAACATTAATACATTATGCTAATTTTCATCTTTGTAAGCGCATACGACAGGGCAAATTATTTCTGTGACAGTCTTTTGAAGTGTGTAAATCTCCATTTTATCCCATACATAGTCAAAATATTGGGGGAATGATACAATGGACCATCCCCCTTGTCAAATATTGGGGGATATATCCCCATCCCCCAGGATCTACGCCTATGAGGCCACTGCACTCTTGATGCATCTGCGCCCCTGTTCATCATCGCGTAATGGTTTCTTTGACCCCACCCACCAGGCTTGGCGCCAGGACGGGGGGGGGAGGGGTTGTCCCCGACGCCTGGGCAGGATTTCCCCAATGAGAGCAGAGAGCAAAGTGGGCGTGGCCGAGTGTTGTTTAAAATGTTTCGAACGTGGTCCAGGGGCGAGGCCCCAGAAAATTTTGACAGTTTAGGGGATTCAAAGTCTTACTTTATCGATTTTAGATTCTACTAATACGTAGAAAATACATATAATATTTTTTTCTCCCCGACAGGGGTGGGGGAAGCTTTCCCCGACGGGGCCCTGGCTCCCCGGCCCCCGCTGCTGGCGCCACCCCTGACACCCACTAATTCCCTTCCTCTTTCAAATCATCACTGGATCTTCGTACAGTATAATCTTGTGCTTTCAAAAACCTCAAGCACTGCTTTTTCACAACTTTATTCCCAGTTTTAATATTACTTTCGACATTATGATCGGTGTCGGGCCTTCAAAAACAAGGTGTTTTCTAGCCAATGTTGCTTGGCAGGCCGCACACATAGGCTTTTTAATTCATATATATTTGCGGGCCGCAAAAAATCGATGTAGATGTCAATCCGGAGGGGCCCATTATTAGGGCACCCATGCCATTATCGAGGGCCCATGGTAATAATTATTATTTAAAAAATAAATAAATAAAAAAAAAATCTACCTGCAATAATATGGCCCCTGGGGTCTTTCTCCCGCCCCTTTTCGGTGGCAGTCGCTTATCTAGTAGTGTGCTTATCACGTTCAATACCAGCAATGTCTTAATTTTTTCGCCTGGCCGTAACACTGTCTCTTATACACATCTAGATGTGTATAAGAGACAGTTATTAGGGCACCCATGCCATTATCGAGGGCCCATGGTAATAATTATTATTTAAAAAATAAATAAATAAAAAAAAAAATCTACCTGCAATAATATGGCCCCTGGGGTCTTTCTCCCGCCCCTTTTCGGTGGCAGTCGCTTATCTAGTAGTGTGCTTATCACGTTCAATACCAGCAATGTCTTAATTTTTCTCTCTTCTCTTAAATCTTAAATTGTATCTTTGGTCTTGCTATGGGAAAACATACTCCCCCAACCTAAAATTTTACCTTTACCCTCACTTTCCCCAACTCCCCCTCCAGATTTCAGACGCTGGCGCCAAAATTTTTGATTTTGGTGAAACGATGGAAATAAAATCTACCACAGAAAGTGATTGATATATCAAATCCAACTCAAGGTTCAAACTAAGCGCTTGATCTAATTATAATTTTAAAATAGAATTAAAACCAAAATAGATAGGACTCATGTGAACGTTATGGAAGCCTGGAAATTACAAGTAAACAATGTACACCTTGAATAGGCCTATGCCAACTCTTTGGATGATGATAGTCTTTTATTGTTGAGTAGGGTTTATTGTTGAGTAGGGTTTTTCAGGGAGCGTTTATTCGAGGGAGGCGTTTATTATTTTTTTTGGTGTAAAATAGATACGTATATTCTCATAAGGCCCCTTAATTTCACTATAAATAATGTGGAATATAAACACAATAATTACCTCCAAAATGTATTGCATTATCGTAAAGCTTTATCGATCTTACCGGGTTAGAACAACGAAATTTTGACTGGAGTACAAACAACATTAATCAAATAGGCCTATGTTGACAATGATGCTGCTTAAGTATTACAGTAATTTTGTTTACAGCCATTTAGGGAGGTGATAATTTGGAAGGGGGCGTTCATTCAACGGTACTGAATCATAATTTTGGGTTAATTCAGCAACGGTCCCCAACGAAAGAGAAAGAAAACTCTTTGGATTCTAGGTACAGAAAAACAAGTGTAAAACAAATGTTACTCCTTCTTAAATTGGATGCAATATTTGTTCAACATCATTTACCTCATGAAAATAGGGCCTCAGCGATTCTCGGCGGAGGAATCGCTATATAAACACTACAACAAATGTTTCATTTCATTTCATTTATTTATTCGACCAATACACATTTACAAATGCAGTACAACAAAAAACAGTACAAGAAAAGGTATGGTCAGGGGCAGCTTAAGCAAAATTTTACTATAACTCATTGAGAGTCAGCTGCTCCATTAATAAATATACTACTGTATAATAATAAATGTTTATAGCTAGTGTTGTCACATCTGCCCAAAGAGTATAAAACAGTTTTATACTCTTTGATCTGCCGTAGTGCCATAGAGGGCGCACTGGCCGTTGCGTCATTTTATTTCATTTACTGTACTGCCAACGTCCACGTGCATTTTACTGGTGTTTTGTTTATTTTTTTTCCGCAAAATGCCGAAGTCAAAACGAGATAAACGAAGTAAGTTCTAGTTGGGTAGTAACAATGAAACATTCACTAGTATATCTAGCCATCCTTGAATGTACAATATTTAGTGTTTAGCCTCATTTTTAGTCAAGACTTAGGCCTAGACGCT